ATCAAAATGCCAGACAAACTTGGTGCGGGCTCGCCGCCCTTGCAGTCACCCCAAGTTTGTCTGGTATTTTGCCCCTCCCCGCCCTTTGCGGAAAATCAAAATGCCAGCCACGCTCTGCACGCAAGAACCAACCGCAAGGGCGAGCGGGTGGGGAGCCTACCCCAAATTTGTCTGGCATTTGTCCGGTATTCGGTTGTGGGCCCCGCCCCCTCCCCTCCCCGCCCTCTGCGGAAAATCAAAATGCCAGCCGCCCCAACTTTTTGTCTGGCATTTTGATCCTTGCGGGTTTCCGGTTGCGGAAAATCAAAGATGCCAGCCGCTCAAGTTATCTCTGGCATTTTGATCCTTGCAGGTTTCCAGTTTCCGCAAAATCACCTTCCCACCCAGTTTCCCTCGCATTTTGATCCTTGCAGGTTTCCAGATGCGGAAAATCAAAATGCCAGCCGCCCCAAGTTTATCTCTGGCATTTTGATCCTTGCAGGTTTCCGGTTGCGGAAAATCAGCAGGCCAGCCGCCCCAAGCCAAGTTTTCCCTGGCATTTTGATCCTTGCAGGTTTCCGGTTGCGGAAAAAATGCCAGCCCCCTCTGCGGAAAATAAACATGCCAGCCCCGCTCCGCACGCAAGAACCAACCGCAAGGGTGGGGGCCTGGGTCTTGCATGGAAAGCCGGGCTGGCATTTTGACGTTCCGCAGAGGGCGGGGAGGGGGGGCCGCCCCTGCGGATGGTTCGTGCATTCAGAGCGTGGCTGGCATTTTGATTTTCCGCAAAGGGCGGGGAGGGGCAAAATGCCAGACAAACTTGGGGTGACTGCAAGGGCGGGGGAGCCCGCACCAAGTTTGTCTGGCATTTTGATCCTTCCCAGGTTTCAGCCCCTCCTCCCAGGTTCTGTACCCAAGAATCACTACCTGCTGTACACAGTAAGCTCCCCAGGGCAGGGTCAGAGCCAGAGGGCATCTCGGCGATAGAGTGTAGCACATACCTTTCAGGTTCTGTAAGCGCAGTATATTTTTTAGGGTTTAGTAGCTTTAGTCGGGTTCCTTGTAGGGCTTTTATGTCTACTTCTTGCGCATTTCGGCTCACCAGACGGCTTCTGTTCCGGGAAGTGGTGCCGCCAGATGTCGGCGGAGGCGCTGGAAATCTTACATCGTAAACCTCCGAGAGAGACTTAAGACTTAAGTCAGCCTATGAGTGAGCCGCCTGCCTGCAATATACCCTCCGAGCCGATGTGAAAGGAGTAGAAATCTCTGGAGATTTAGCATTATCTTCTCTGTGCTAGTCACTGTCACTAGTCATGTCGATCGACTAAACCCCGCGCCGCCAGCTGCCTTCAAGCTAGAGTTGCGCCACATCCCTGGCCACAGGGGTGCACGGCATGAGGCTCGGGGTGCTTGTCGGTTACAAAATTAGGGTCCAGTCTACGTGGAATCAACAAACACAATATATGCTATAACAACGAGCACTGACACAGGGGTCATGATTTGCAGAACCCGAACATGGTATCACTGATCACGGCACAGAGGGATTCGCTTTCACCCGGGAGCCACAACACAATGCCTTGAAGCTGCTGGGCACTCTCACTAACCCCCTCAAAACAGCCGTGAAAACCGAAACTCCGGGAAACCCGACTACGCCCTGGAGACCTCTCCACCCCTGCATTGCCAAGAACGATGAACGAAATTAGTTGGAGCCTCAAGTCGCCACAACACTCCAGAAATTCCAGAACGACAGCACCCCCAAGCCAGAGCACCATCCAGAGACCATCTACCTCAAACCCGAAGTCCGAAACCCTAAATCATCAACCGAATCTGGAATCTGGAACGCCACTGTACTGCCCAAACCGACACAACACTACACATTCTGAACACAGCGCAGAAATCACGAATTTACACAGTCTGAACACAACGCTCTGAAACTTTAGATCCTGATCCAATCCAAAGCCACCCCCCCGGCAAGCACCTGCGAAGACTGCAGGCTAACGCTTCCCTCAGTGCAAACTAGGGGAACAAGTTCATGACTTTTCGCAGCTCGCTGCACTCACCCACCACCAGATGCAAGCGGTTACTAGGTCGTTCATTCCACCCGCCCCGCCCCAGCTGCCGCAGGCGACTTACACTTCCACCGGTAAATACTTCATTCCACCCGCT